ACTATACTGTTATAGAGCTACTATTATAATCCTCATATACTAAGTATGTGCAGAAATGAAATGTAAATCTTTGTTTCTTGGTGTGATTAAGTATAATAAGCAAGAGCCAAATGATGAATGTTCACGTGCTTAGCACAATTATATTGACCACACTAAAAACTAAAGGAGTTATTATTGTAAATGTCATGTTTTCGCAATGTTTCTTCACCTGTCTAAAGCTTGTCGCTTAGTTGTTCTCTCAACCAAAAGAAACAAATTATTATATTTTTCTAATTTTCTCCTCTTATATATTGAAAAAAGTGAAGAACGATACACTGAAAAAAGGAAGTGGTTATCTAAAAATGCAACCAGAAAATGAAACTTGACTCAGAAGCCATTCATAGTTCCACTAATCAAATATAGTTTTAGTTACTTCATCAATGACTTTCCAATAACTAACCCTAGCTCTAGGGTTTTATTATGGTACAAATAGTGGATTTTCGTGCCAACAAATCTGCACATGAATTAGCCGTCTAAACGAAAACTTTATTTAGTTAATATTTTAAACAGAAAAAAAAACTATTCTTTTGGTTGGTCTCATACTATCTGATAGAGGATAAATATTATTCGCCGAAGCCAACGACCAAGAAGTAATAAACAAAATTACAATCGAACCCTTTCGCAGGTACACCCTCCAGTGTCCATCCAACATAACATTAATCAGCAGATACATTCAAAGTGGCGAGAGAGACATTATCGTACTCAGCGGTGAGAATAAGGTAAAGACCCTGAGTAAGCATACCGGGATATTACTGATGAAGGCGGAAGCTCAGGTACAGCAATGCTTGGGTATCTACGTGATGATCGGTAGTAGTCGGCCAATGAATCTGCTGTAACATATCGGGAATACAGGTCATCATCTTCTCTTCTCGGAGAAACCATGTATGCCCTTGGTGCCCTCTCAGGAGCACGGTACTCATAACTGTAATACGGGTCTCTCCTGTAGGAGTCCAGTGCAACTGCTGAAGCTGGTGGGTCAGGTGAGTTTCGAGCCAGGATTTCCCGTCTCGAGCTTAGATGGTCATACGGGTGGTAATCTCTCTCAGGCAAATGAAGAACTCGAACTTCTCTACGGTCATGCCTCTCCATCTCTGCATGTCTTAAAAGCCGATCACGGTCCACAGATGGATGGTAGGAATCCAAAGGAACACGGTCTCGGTTGACATTATGATAAAAAGAATCAGGAGGCGGAATTGGGTAATGCTCGCTTGTTTCTCCTCTTCTCAAACCGTATGTTCGGTACTCCCTTTCACTGAGATATAAATCATGCGGTGGTGGTTCTCTGCGTGGAGTAGGTGGAGACGGAGCGGCATTGCAACTCCTTTCATGTCTGTGGGTCAGGTTCGCCCTGCTGCTACTAGGAGCATAACGATCATTTTCAGATCTTTTCCTGTCAGCATCACGGGGAACGGGAATTGGCAGGGTGTGTGTGAGTTGTGCAGGGAGAGTAGCTGGCCGGAATAGCTTCTTAAGCTTGAATACCTTTAAGAACACCATAACAGAAGAGATGAACAGAAAGATGAAAATGCGTTGGCAGTATGATATTAATTTGAGAAAACGACGAAAAAATGTGGTTTACCTGCTTATGAGTTAATTCTGTTTTGAACTTGTTTTTATTATTGTAGTTCTCCTTGATTGCTTTCTTGAATTGGCTCTCAGGCAACGGTATGCAATCACTAACGACTTTAAAGCGCACCTGAAATATACAGAATATCATCAAATTTATCCAGAAGGGAAGAATGAACAAAAATCTCATATCATCTGGGAAGACAAGTTGTATAAATGAAGTTCCATTTTTGAAAAGACGTGTCAATGAAGTGGATAACAAACATGGGTTAAACACAACGTCACCTGAGCAGGAAAGGAACCACCAAAAGCATTGCGCTCAAGTTTCATCCCACCCGCAGAGGATGCTTGAAAAATTCCATAGAGGAGTTTGAGATCATAGTCATAGAGAAAAAGCTTAAGCCCGGGCTTGATACCCATGACATAGTCCTTCCTTTTCTCTTGTACACCCATTACACTAAACCGAAAACAATCGGGTCTAGTTTTTGCATTGCACATGAAGATCAATCCACCAATCTTTGCTTTTCCATGCCCATCCATTTCTTTTTTATCAGTGGTAATAAGCTCCTCCTTCCTCTCTTCCATTCTTTGCTGTGGTACATCAGCAGCAGTTACTTCATCTTTCTGATGTTTCTTGTTTGAACCTAAAACCTGTTCTCCCTGTCTCTTCTTTCTGCGTCTATTGCCTGCACCCGGGGCAGTTTTTTCCTCAGTTAACTGGTTCTGCTTATTTTCTTTAGCAAAGTTCTTTTGTTGGCCTCCTTCACTAGTCCCTTTATCAACTTCGGTTGTAATTAACAGTGCTGCTTGAGTCTTTCTTAATTTGGCTTTCCCCCTCAGTCTTCTTGGTTGTTTCTTCTTCACTGACAAGACGTTTTCAGGGGCTTCTACAGAACCCTCAATAGCTTTCTCAGCTTCCATCACGTTACCTCCAAGAGGAGTTTCTGAATCTTTGTCTTTCCCAGAAGAATCTACAACAGACTCCATAACCTTCTTTTTCTTCTCGCTTTCACCAAGAGAAGGCTCTGCACTCTGTTCATCCTTATTAATACCTTGTTTTACAGTGACATTCTCCTCACCAGCCACCTGAACAGCAGTGCCTTTTAAACTTTGCTTTTTTACCAGCTTCTTTACCTTCTTAGCGATTTTCTTCTTTGCCAGTAATCCTTGTGCCTTTTTCATTCCAGAAGAACTTGCTTCAACAGATGTAAGAACAGAGGTTTCTTCAACAGTCCCATTTTCTGTTTCCTTTACCTCCTCCACCAGTACATTTACGCCTGCCTCGTCCGGTTTCGCATCCATTAAATTTTCTACAAAGTCCTCATCTTCCTTACTTTTTCCTCCAGTAGAGGTTTCCACAGCATCACTCTCATCCTTTTCAGCTTCAACCACCAGTTCCACATCCTTCCCAACATCTGTATCATTCTCAATTACCGAGGCCTCAAGAGTTTCCTCATTCTCATGTTCCTCAGCATTTTGTACTTCCATTTTCAATAAACAAGCAGATTTCAATGCGTAGTCGGCTGCAAATAAGGTTTAAACCAAGGAGCGTCAAACGAAAGAGAGATCATGAACCATGGTAATAGGAGAAAATCAAAAGCTTCAATGCTAAAACTAAAGTAATCTATAACTCCAACATAAGCACATCATTCACAAAAACTAAACATTGCCTACTGTAGATACTTCACCTAACCGTTGCCATATGCATTGTTCTAGCTCTTCAATCTATATAATTCAACTGTCTTTAACTAAGGCAGGCAAAGAATTTATCACTTTAAAATTATTACAGAGTAAGAAATCCTACCAACTCTTGTCCAAAACGTGTAGAAAAAATCTTCCCAGATGTAAAAGTTGACCAAACGTGGAAAGTGATCACAGCCTGCTCAAATTACAGAAGAAACATTAATAGCACATCAGTGACTCATCTGAATAGAATCTACTTCACGAAAGTCAAAGAATTTCATCCCCAGATCATAGTATTTCTTTCACTAAACTTCCCACAAGGAAAAGAAGAATATTTCAGATTAAGAAACCCAATCCTTAAAAGCACTCAAAAATCCCCAATTCCTAGGGCAAGTTTCCCCATAACCCCGTAAGATCAGAATAAACCCATCAGAAGAGAAGGAAGGATCAGTCGATTCAATAGCTAATAAGGAAGATCAGAGGAGGAGGAGAAAAAAAGTAAAATTGAATAAAGAAGAGTGAACGATTAAGAACAGAGTAAAAAAAGCTGCTTACTAAGGGGAAATCACCGGGGGTCACCGTCTGAGAGTTAGCTCCGTCGTCATTCTCCGTCACCGGCGTTGCAAAGTATCGGATTCGAAGGA